GATTTTATTGCAGATCTGCATCAGATCTTTGGCCAAATCTTGGCACATCTGCATTGCAGAAAAACTGCAGATTGCAGAATCTTTACAGATTCTGCAAAGATTTTTGCAGACCGAGTTTTTTTGGGTATAGTTCCTATCCTGAACAAGTCTCGAAAAGTTTTCGGAGCGTTTAGAAGAGAATTGAGGTCAAACTTCAGGAATTTTTCAAGTAAATTGGGTACCACTCGAATGTAAAGTTAGATCGATATCGAATTCCTTCACCATTAGAATCAACTCGTCAAGAGCTACAATTTGATGTTTAATTATGCAATGTTTGGTTCATTTTCACCGACTTCGGTTTCACCCTCACCAAAAACGTGAGGTGTCTAGAAAACCACTTTCAACACGTTTTTTCAAAAAAGCGTAAGCGAGACCTTTAGATTATTTTTGATGTTCTACATGACGGGCAAAGTGAAATTTTCGCGGCTAATAGTGGGCGGACCTGCGCGGAAGGACGCTAACCGTTTTGTTTTGCAGCTGTCAGTACATATAAGAAATACAGAAATTCAAAAAACTTGATTTTGTTTTTCAGATTAAACTTTTCTTTTAGATCATATAGACTCATTGAAGTTTGAGTCTCAAAAAAGACAAATTTCTCTCAATCGGGAGCCTGTCTGCGCTTACAAACGCTCAATAAAAAAAAAGAAAGTTAAAGACTACATTCGAACTGCCGTTCTGCTTATTCATAATGACGAAATAAGCCCCTTAATATACGTATAGATACTTGTGCTCGTCCTTCAAACACCACCAAAAATACACAAATCCAGACGACAACGTAGAAAGGGTTCAATATAATTTGTGTTTTCTGTTAAACTTTTCATGAAAAACCACAAATAAAATGATTAAAAGCAAATTACACTAAAAAATTAGACAAAGAGATTTGAGAGCTCGTTTATTTTTTAAAACCTTATGTTACTTAAATAGAGCATTTATTAGAAGGAGAATGATACGGTCTGTATACGGCGACATGAAAGATGGCGCGAAATAATAAATACATTAGTCGAAGAATTTTTTCGCCAATAAAATATCTGAATAATAGAAAGGAATGGCTAACAAAAAAAAACGAACAAATGCTGGAGAAGTTGCTCGCTATAAGCCAGAGAGCGCTCATATTACATAGCAAATTCGCACAAAATGAAATTATTTGTTAAGAAAACCGATGATTAGTCATCTTAAACACTAAAAACAAAAAGGTAAAGTTTATGCAGAGTTTGGGCTTGAGAATTTTCCAAATCAGTGTATCCGATTTCGTAGAGTTCGTTGATTTTTAGCGCAAAGTATCCCATATTTTAAATTACATTCAAATTACGGCATAATAACACGTAATGACGATCGTAGCTACGGGCACCATTAGCGAGATTATGATTTTATTACGGCGTAATTAGTCTATTAAGCTGCACTCTATAAGAAATCAGCTTCAAGCTGAGAAATTTTTTACGTAAAAAGCTTGCATTAACAAAAAGACTTTTTGATCAAGAGAAAAACCCAATGTTTTGGCAAAACTATGAAGCAAACCCAACGGTTGAACTAAAACCTATGAAACTTCATTGTTATCAGTTGTGTTAAATCCGAATATTCGCTCGTCACCAAATCAGGAAACATTTTTATAACAACTCTGCCACGTTTATTCCGATATAGAATGTTTAGAAAAAGTTTTTTTGATCTAAAAATACTTGGCCTTGTTTTAGATTTTTTAAATTTCCACAATTTTAACGCTCTGAGTATCAAAAAAATGCTAACTTGTCGATCTCATAAACAAAAGTTGCTGGAAACTCTTAGAAGATCTCATGACGATATATGTAGCAAATATTGAAGAAATAAGTGTTTATGTTAGACTATTAGAATATAATAATATAATATAAGATTTAAGTTCTCCGTGTACATTTTTTCTCATTTTTATATTTTAGGTATGATTTTACTCACTGACCTCTCACGAAGACGCATTCGCTCAATAAATAAACTGATTTGTGTTGGTCGCGGTGAAGTTGTCATCTTTGAAAGAGTTGATCGTGATAAAGGTATTGAAACTTGTTTGTTTTTTCTCTTCCTACGGTCTTTTTTGATTTCATTCAAATATGTCTGTTTAGGTTATATTGATCTTTCAAAACATCGTGTTTCATCGGAAGATAATAGCAAATATGAAGAAAAATTTGTTCGTGCCAAAAAAAGTACGTTCTTGTTTTTTCTTTTATTTATTACTGTTGATTATTATCGAACAAATTTGTTCTAGGTGAAGAGTATTCTTCGTCATACAGTTCAAGTACTTGGAATAAAAACATGAAGAATTTGAAGAACTTTATGGAAAAACAGCATGGTATTATGATGATAAACATAAACGTGTTGGAGCTTGTTATGATGTTTTTGCATGTGCTGTCCAGTATGTTGATTCGTTTCTTTTTAATTGAGCAAGCAAGATATTAATGGTATTTCGGTTAGCGACGAAGCTGAACTAGATGATTGTCAAGTTGATGAAGAGGCAGAAAAAGTTTTATTAGCTAATAGTCGACGACATTTGACACCACAAGCCGTCAAATGTAGAGCAGGTATGGGTATTAGGATTTCCGCTTTCTTTAATTGACAACGTTTCCGCGGAGAAGTTTTGTAAGACTGACTGTTAACATATCAATAAATACTGTCGCACGTTTTAACAACTTGACTTTGACTATGTACTCATTATTTTTGCTTTAGACATCGAAGTCACTTGCTACGGATATGAAGGTACTGATGCTTTGAAAGTAGCTCTGGAAGAATGTCTCAAAATGTCCGTAGATGAAATGTCAGCAAAAGTGAGTAGTATAGTATAGATTGAGTCTCTGTTGCAAAAAAATGTATGCTTTTTATATTTAAAGATCAATCTGATCGCACCACCATCGTATGTTATAACGTCGACATATCTCGATCGTAAAGACAAACATGCATCTTGTCACGTAGGCAACATGAATTATAGTTCGTTTATGGTTATGAGATACAAATGAGAATGCCTGAAGAAGAAAATAAAAAAGTATCTGATGATGAAACGGATGATGATGAAGGAAAAGGGGAAGGTAAAATTCGCTGAATGTTTGATGTTTCGTTTTTATAGAATAGGTTGTTTTAGCTGAAGAAGGCATAGCAGGTGACTTACTGAACGAAGAAGAAAGTGAAAAAAGTGCTCCAGTCTCGGCATCAATACGAATGAAAAAACAACGAAAAAAATTCCAAGAACAGTAATAAAGAAAAAGCCCAATACAGGCGATGAAAATAATCAAGACAATGAAGAATAGATCCTTTTTCCGTTTTCTTATTTTGTTTTTTTTATTCTTCTGTTTCAAATATGTTTCAAAAGGATATATGTGACTAAGTATGTATATGTGTTTATGTAGGAAATATAAAATTAATATATGTACTGATTTTATTATTTACTATTGTTGTTTACGAACATGATTGTTCAAACTGAGTAGTCTTATTCACTCAAAATGTCTACAAAGTTTCTTAACAATCCTATTTCTAGTTTCTTCTAAAATGAGTAAAAGTTGAAAGATAAAAGTTGACAGATACCAACCCTAACTGTAGAAGCACTACATAGTCGGAAAAATGCCATATCACTGTACTTAGTCGTACTACGCTTGTACAATCAGTATGCTTAGTACGTACAGGTACAAAATCTACCCGTGTGCGCGTACGGGCGTAAGTGGAAAAGTTTTGAAAGCTGTGGAAAGGACCAGTCCGCATAACACCTGAAATCGGCACACTAGCTTTTAGCGCTCCAATCTGTCCAAAACTCATCAGAATCATCATATTCAATGATTTCCATCCTTTCGAACGCTTTTAGTCGAACATATCGGACAGAATCTACTCGAAAACAAATAACCCCTTAGCACCATCACTAGGACTGTAAAATCGAGATTTCCTCGTAACCATCCAATATTTAGCCTAGTGCAATACAGCACTCGATGCGCCTTGGAAAACTCTACAATATGTGTTAATAGCACACTTAACGAAGCCTCGTAGCGGTCTTTGTGAATTAAGTACTTCGCCGCTTAAACCTAAGAGAACTCGTACATCGTTTTCTGCTTTAATGACTTTGCGAAACACATGTAAGGCACGTGTTTTAAAGGTTTTTCAAGGTTTCGTTTGTTCTTTTTTAACCTTTGCACAGGTGATTTTACATCAGAATGACTTGGAATTATTTATTTCTTCTTGTACGTTGGCATAAAAAGCATAGTCAGGACACTACATGTCCGAATGGTCACTTTCACTCTGACTGCGCAAAACGTATCGTAAATCGGATTCGTACACAAAAGACGAAGTACTTAATTCACAAAGACCGCTACGAGGCTTCGTTAAGTGTGCTATTAACACATATTGTAGAGTTTTCCAAGGCGCATCGAGTGGTGTATTGCACTAGGCTAAATATTGGATGGTTACGAGG